TTAGTCATGAAATAACTACTAGATGACAATCTCATCAACGATGCTCAGAGACACTAACAGTCTGTGTTGACAAGCTCTGAGGTCTCAGCCTGACACTTGGTTTTTGTCAGTGTCTCAGTCTCATCATCTATTTTTGAACCAGGTACTGGACTCATCTGCTGTGGTGAGTGTTGGACTTTCACCTTGAACACGTCACACCTCTCAGGAAGCAGACCTTTGTTGAAGAGCACAGATGTCAGATAGGAGAACAACACAATGGAGACAACAGTAAACAGCATGGAGATGGTCTTGACTGGAGCGTACTGGACATAAACTCCATCCTCAAGGACACATCCTGGGAAACAGAGGACAACAGGAAGTCCTATTGTGGGGACACCACTGAGGAGTCTCATCGTTACTCCTGCCACAAATCCTACGACAGCTCCATAACCATTGGAGATGTTGAAGAAAAGGACACAGACCAACTGAGGGAAGATCAGAATGTAGGCCACTTCAGCAGCAATAAACCAAAAGAATAAGGTGCTGTTGGTCTGACTGGTCAATGATGTACCAACCAAACCCACAACAAAGACGGAAGCACGGATCACCCACTGGATCTCTCTGTCTCCTGCCTAAGGTAGAAAGGATAAAAACAGAGGTAAAGAAAAAGAGTCTGAAAAACCTTCTTTGCAACCTTCCTTTGTGATGACCAACTTTTAACCTTTGGCCTCAGGATGTTCTTGTAAATGTTGGATGTGAAGATAGAAGCTGCAGAAATCAAGTGAGAATCAGCTGATGACATCACAGCAGCAGCCACACATCCAGTACCGATGATGGAGATGAAGGACGGGGTGAGGAACTGCAAGAGAATTGGCAGGATCAGAGCAGCCTCACCACGTTCATATGGAGACGGAGAACCATAGGAGGTCGTGTTCCAATCTGAGGAATACAATATAGAGTAGATTTAGGAGAACTTACTACACTAAAGAGCCATCTAACCCTGTAGTCCTATGGACACTTTGTTTTGATGTTTAACCCATCTTGTAGGTAAGACCTGTTCAGCGGTTCAACTAAGTGAAATTAGTTGAACCGCTAGTGTGCCACGACAAAGTGGTTGGGAATCACTGGTGTAGTAAATGGTGATCAGTTGTCTACTGTGACCACCACAGTTTAGTTTTAACCTCCAGTACCTGTCGATGCAGCAGCAGCTCCCAGCAGTACTGGAGCGGTGACGATCACAATGAAGAGAAAAGCAGCAATCACACTTATGACCTTGGCAGTAGCTAAAGAAGAAACAGCCAGTGTTCTCTGGTGGAGACACTGATATCCCAGACTCCCCAGGGCCTTAAAAAAAAAACATTTTCAATCTGACTGCAGCATGTCTTACCTTGTCAACATCAATATTAGCTTAATAGTTTAAATGTTTGCTATAATTTCTCACACTGTATGCTTTTATTTTATGATCAATACTGGGTTTCCTGCTTAACCACATTACATTTGTCATCTTACAAAAAACAAGAACTCATCAACCATGATCCAAGTGTTCTTAAGTTCAGCTGTGCCGATCCAAGGGGCGTGTAATGTGTTGTTCATCAGTGTGTGGCCAATGTCCAAGCAGCTACTGTTCATCAAAACAAATGGGACACACAGCCACTGCAGAGACAGAGGAAATGTCAGTACAAAGTTCCACAAGACGCAGCTTGTTATCAATAAAAGAAACTCACCAAACTGGTGAACATAAGGATCAGCTGTACAACATCAGTGTAGGCCACAGAGTAGAGACCTCCCAGCAGTGTGTAGGTGATAGCAATGGCAGCAGAGATCCAGACACACACAGTGTAGGACACATCAAGGACAACACTCATGGTTCCTCCTGTCAAAAACATTGAGTCAGTAGTATCTAGTTATCTTCTGTGGTACAAGTCCAGACAAGGTTGTAGTTCAAAGCCGTTCTGAACAGATGTGTTTTGAGGGTGGATTTGTAAATGCGGGGAGGGAGGCGTATATCGAAGAGAGAGAGAGTAAAAACAAGACAAAACATTAAATAAAGTCTAATAAATAATTCACCTGCTGTTATTTGTCTCCCTGTTCCAGCAATACATTATTTGGGAATGTTGCTCTGGATTAATCCAATATGAGTAATTATAATTCATTGTAAATATTGTTAAATAGATTGACAGCTCTGGTTTTAATATATTTACCTAAAGCAATAAGAATAAGCGGCAGGTTCATGAAGTCGAGAAGAAGTGTGAAGATGGACACTCCAACTGTTAGAACTTTTCCATACTTCTCATTAAAAGGGTCCAGTATGGTGACACAGTTTTTTTCTCTGAGCGGTTTAGCAAACACCAGACCACCTGGATATATGACATAGGAAAAAACTCTTAATAGCACAATCAAATGTTATTATGTCGCAGCTCCATGACCAAGAAACATACATAAAATAAAACATGTACTGTATCCAACAAGCATGATGGCTGCCTCGATCAGTCCTCTCGAGGGCGTGTACATCATCTCAGTTGTGCCAACAATCATTCCACCTCCGACCCAGGTAGCTGTAGGAGGAATCAACATTTTTAAGGTTATGAAGTAGATCTTAAAATGTTTGAGACCTTTGATAACATATACCTCTGAACTCAAAACCCAAAACAAAACATCAACAAATTTGATATGAACACAGAGGAAAAATTTGACTGATGACCTATGAAGTTTAGCTAAAGTCTTTGCGCTGACATGTTCATGTCAGTGCATGTTGCATTCTAATAATCACAGAGCGATAGATAGATTAGATAGATAGATGGATGAATGGATGGATGGATGGATGGATGGCACACTCCAGGGCAAGACGATGATTTTGATAAAAAGGTGCACAAACTGAAATCTCAACAAATTCTAATACAAGACATAATAACAGATAAAGAGAGCTTAGCTGTTGCTACTATCAAGGTTTCAGAAGAAGCAGAGAGATTACATGCAGCAAGTACGGTGACCCAGGGTTCATTAGCAAAACAAAAAGGACTGTCATGGCAACCACTGGGTGCAATAGCTATCTCAGCTGCATACAGCCTTGACTGGGAATAGAAATCATATAACACCTACTACAGCCCTTCACTGAACTTTCCACTGAAAATGTACAAATTCTGCTGACAAAAGAAGAAGAGAACCTTAGCAGAGACACCGACAACATTATGGTCACAAGGCAATGCAGATGTAGGACAATTACTAACATGCAAACCAGGGATAATAAGACCAAACACTGACTATAGACCATGCATTAGACAATATCCAATCAAACCAGTCACACAGTTCACAGTTTTATCTGCTGAGCTAGTTTTGCTACATCCAAAATTATCTTTGGGTCCAAAATTTAGCCATCAATTTCTTTCAGTTTTTTTTCCCCTAACTTTTAGACATTTTCCAAGTAATATTGTCTGTTTAGTATGGATATTTGCCTTCATAGGATATATATATGGTTTTCAGTTAATACCTTTTAAAACTTTTTTGCACAACATATCCAACTAATAGTTTTTCAGATGATCTCACCTGTCATGGTGAAGATCCCCACCATCCAGTTGATCCTCCTGTTCCCCAGCAGAGCCATCTCCATTTCTCCTGCTCCAGTTTTCTTCTGTTCTCTCTTGGACTTAAAAGAAGCCCAGATCCCGGTCCCGAGGACCAGCAGGTAAAAAATCAGCATCACTATCACTCCTGGGATGTTCACAGCCATGGTGCTCTGTTCCAGTGGCTTCCACACAGATCGATTTCTAAGGAGAAAACCGACAACATATAGGAACTTCTACATGTGTAACAGTGGGAGACACAACAGGTCCTACAGATCTGCACATCAAATTTATTTTTTCATCTGTGTTTGTGTTTCAGATGTGTTCAGTTTGCACAAAACATCAAAGGTATAGCCATGCAAAAATCATTAATCTGCCTCATCAATTTAAAACAAAATGCACAAATATTATTACAAAAGAATTTTTGGACAAAGTCCCAAATATTATCTTATGTTGTCAGATGTTTGGGCTCCAACGCATCACCTCCCTAAACAGCTGAATGCAACTGTTCCACAGAAAGACAGTCTCATACAGATCAGTGAAGGACTGACACATAACACATAAGAAGACTGATATTATACAGGAACTTAATTTCTACACGTGTAACAGTGGGAGGGGCATCATCACCTGTGGAAGACACAAGACACAACAAGTCCTACAGATCTGCAAAGCAAATTTAGAAGTGTCTATATTGGTCCACTACTGAGTTAAAACAACACTTTTGAAAGAGTTAAATAGTAGTTGAAATTGAACACATGAGTGTTGAACTCACCTAACACTAGTGCAGGGGTCGGCAACCCGCGGCTCTTTCACCCTTCTGTTGTGGCTCCCTGTGACTTTGGAAAATAAATTATGAGTATTTAATTCCATTGTGTTGTTCTCCTATCTGTCACCTGTGCTCTTCAACAAAGGTCTGCTTCCTGAGAGGTGTGACGTGTTCAAGGTGAAAGTCCAACACTCACCACAGCAGATGAGTCCAGTACCTGGTTCAAAAATAGATGATGAGACTGAGACACTGACAAAAACCAAGTGTCAGGCTGGAGGATAAGGATACATAAGGATGTCAGGATTAGGGTTAGAGGGTTAGGGTTTAGGGTTAGGGTTTAGGGTCATTGTTTTTTCCTTTGGCTTTGACCTCTATATGGCCATAGAAACACTATTCAGAGGATTGGGATTCATTTGAAATACTTGTATTTTTATGTAGTATCATTTTTTAAAGAGAACACAAGAAAAAGAAAACTACTATAAATGCAACTACTACTGTTTACCTACCTAACATATCCAACTAATAAGATGCATTTATAAATGTGTTTTTCAGATGATCTCACCTGTCATGGTGAAGATCCCGACCATCCAGTTGATCCTCCTGTTCCCCAGCAGAGACATCTCCATTTCTCCTGCTCCACTTTTCTTCTGTTCTCTCTTGGACTTAAAAGAAGCCCAGATCCCGGTCCCGAGGACCAGCAGGTAGAAAATCAGCATCACTATCACTCCTGGGATGTTCACAGCCATGGTGCTCTGTTCCAGTGGCTTCCACACAGATCGATTTCTAAGGAGAAAACCGACAACATATAGGAACTTCTACATGTGTAACAGTGGGAGACACAACAGGTCCTACAGATCTGCACATCAAATTTATTTTTTCATCTGTGTTTGTGTTTCAGATGTGTTCAGTTTGCACAAAACATCAAAGGTATAGCCATGCAAAAATCATTAATCTGCCTCATCAATTTAAAACAAAATGCACAAATATTATTACAAAAGAATTTTTGGACAAAGTCCCAAATATTATCTTATGTTGTCAGATGTTTGGGCTCCAACGCATCACCTCCCTAAACAGCTGATGTTTCTGTTCCCCAGCAGAGAGAGGCTGCTGACATCACGGCCGCAGGACCAGAGCTGCTGCTCCACGTTCATATGGAAATGGAGAACCATATGATGTCATCTAAAGAAGAGAGAAAGAAGAAAAAGAACAAAAATATATAAACACACACACACACAATCTGTCTGTGTAACACTGATGTTCATATGACCAGGTGTTGGATTCACACAAAACAATGTTGAAGCTGTAAGCTTGAATAATAGGTTTTCTAATGCACCACCCGCAGATGAGGGAAGGGGACGCTGCACGGCCGGTGTTGATAAGTACTGTACACAATGTCGTTCAAATATACTTTATCTGCGTACTTCACCTGTAACGTTTGTGCACGTGTCGTTTCGCTAAATTGCCGCTATAAAATCAGGATCCGCCAATGAAACAGTGTCCAAAGGAGAACAACAACATATATATATATATATATATATATAAACACACACACACACAAACACATTTTTACAGTTTTGAAACACCTTTATATAAACAATGCAATGACACATTTAAATAAAGCAGCAGGGATACTTGTTGGTGATTGAATAAATCTATTGTCAACCAAAGAAAACCCAACAACACACTTTAAGGAGGCCCTTACACATTCATGAGTAATGCATTACTCATACGTTGACTGTGATGAAGTACATCTGACACCAGAGGAAGTGGAGGCACCAACTGTCCTTTACCATTTATGGTCACCGTGCGTGAAGTTTGTTGGTCTGTCGACCGTAGTTAGAAGCTGCTGCCATCAGTACATTGACACAACTTGATGATAATATTCAACAACACCTTGACTTGAATTGCCTTCTGAGGATCACAGAAATCTTGAAATACTCCATCAATGTGATCTTTAAATAACTAAACAGAAAACAACGACAGCATCTTGTACATACAAACGACTACAGTCAGTGATTTTAAGCCTTGGTCTGTGTGCATTTGTTAGTGAGTGACTCAGCTTCGCATTCATTTCCAGTACCATGAACTGGATTCAGTGTTTGTGACTGAGATGACTGCACGATCACTTTAAACACATCACACCTCTCAGGAAGCAGACCTTTGTTGAAGAGCACAGATGTCAGATAGGAGAACAACAAGATGGAACCCATGGCAGACAGCATGGAGATGGTCTTCACTGGAGCGTACTGGACATAAACCCCATCCTCAAGGACACATCCTGGGAAGGGGAGGACAACTGGAAGTCCTAGTAATGGGACTCCACTGAGGAGTCTCATCATCACTCCCACCACAAATCCTAAGACGGCTCCATAACCATTGGAGATTTGGAAGAATAGAACACAGACCAGTTGAGGAAAGACTACAATGTAGGCCACATCTGCCCCAACGAACCAGAAGAACAGACTGCTTTCTGTTAAATGGGTTAGCGATGTACAAATCACACCTACCACTAGGACAGTAGCACGAATCACCCACTGAATCTCTCTGTCTGCTGCCTGAAGCAGAAAATAAAGATAAAATATATGAACAAGTTTCAAATATCTTCCACATTTATTCATCTTCTCACCTTTGGCCTCAGGATGTTCTTGTAAATGTTGGAGGTGAAAATAGAAGCTGCAGAAATTAAGTTAGAATCAGTTGATGACATCACAGCAGCAGCCACACATCCAGTACCGATGATGGAGACGAAAGATGGAGTCAGGTGCCGCAGGGTGAGGGGCAGGACCAGAGCAGCCTCCCCGCGCTCGTATGGAAAAGGAGAACCGTAGGACGTCAGGTTCCAGTCTGAGGAACAGACGGAGTCAAGAGCACAACGTGATGGAGGAGTCAGCTGTACATGTGACTGATACGCAGGGTAGATGATACAAATTAGCTCCAAGACACAGACTGGTTTGTTCATCACACCAGTGACATGATAAACCCCCAAAAAGACACAGACTGGTTTGTTCATGACACCAGTGACATGATAAACCCCCAAAAATATATTATATAGTAATATATAGAACAATATATTCTTCTGAAAGTGGGTCTTTTTGAATGAAAATGAAATCAATATTTTTGCAACTGTTTTTGCATTTTCTTTTAATAAAAACTACACAACTCTAACAATAGCAAATAACATATGCTCTTTCTTTAACTCATACCATTTTAAAGTCATAATTTTGTCTGTTTTGACGTCTTTATTCATTATTAATGTAGAGTTGATTTTGATATTTAACATTTTAGGAAATGTACCTGTAGATGCAGCGGCTGCTCCGAGCAGCACAGGAGGAATTTCAAAGAACAGAAGGAAGACTGAAGCAGCTGTACTGGTGATCCTGGCAGTGGCTAAAGAAGAGGCGGCCAGCGTCCTCTGGTGGAGACACTGATAAGCCAAACTTCCAAGAGCCTTTAGAGAAATGTCAAAAAAGTCCGTCTCAGGTGTGGGAATTGCACCGTGAGGAAATCAGTCAACACCAGAATGGTCTATAGAACCACTAAAATGACAGGTAGTACATTTTGATACCTTCCCTGATTATACTGATGGTGCAGTTCCATACAAAACAGACCAAAGTGTCAGGGAAGGAATACAATAAACAAACAAAATATAATACATGACTAAAATAATTTACAGGGGTGTGTAGACTTTCTAGATCCACTGTAAATAGTCAGACATTAGTGTAAGAGGCTCATTAGTTAATACATGCTAATAATTGCTCTCGCTGTCACTTATACTTAGATGGAAAAAATATATGAACAGGACTATATGAAGGCGGACTGCAGTGCTGCTTAGTCTTACAAAGAAGAGGAAGTCGTCAATAATGAGCCCAGTCTTTTTCAGTTCCATTGTTCCAATCCAAGGAACATGTAAGGTGTTGTTCATCAGTGTTTGACCAATGTCAGAGCAGCTGGGGTTCATCAGAACAAAGGGAACACAGAGCCACTGCAGAGACAGAGGACAAGGGGAAGTAAGAAATACTATGTAGACAAACTGACTCATAAAACATCCAGAAAAACAACAAACTCACCAAACTGATGAACATAAGGATCAGCTGTATAATATCAGTGTAGGCCACAGAGTAGAGACCTCCCAGCAGTGTGTATAAGATGGCAACAGCAGCAGAGATCCAGACACACACAGTAAAAGACAAGTCCAGGACCACACTTATGGTTCCGCCTGTTGAAAATGTTCCACAATGGTAGCATGTAGACATACACTGGCACACGTGGTGATAAGACATCAGCCTACAACGGCCCATTGTACTGTAACACCAGTGACCGCGGCTAACGAGCACTCGTCACGTCATTTTAGTTCTGTCCTACTTCAAGGGGTGTGGGTACCTCACCTAGAGCAAATAGTATGGTAGGAGTGGACATGATGTCAAGAAATAGAGCAAAGAAGGACAGTCCAGCTGTCAGCACTTTCCCATACTTGAACTGGAAAGGGTCCATCATGGTGACGCAGTTCAGTTCTCTCAGTGGTTTAGCAAACACCAGACCACCTGTGTTACAGAAAGGATGAAGGGATGAATGCATACAATAAAAAAGAAAACAAAGGCATGTGGTAAAGTTTGATGTAAACTTACATAAAATAAAAGATACTTTGTAGGCAAAGAGCAATATGACTGCCTCCGTTAGCCCCCTGTTGGGAGTGTACACCATCTCGGTTATTCCCACAATCATGCCTCCTCCGACCCAGGTAGCTGTAGAATGAGTAGAATTTGAGTGATTATGATTTATTGACAAAACGTTGGATTTGACTTGAAGACAGAAACCTTGAAAAACTTAAAGTTTGCTCATTTTGCAGTCCGTAAGATCCTTAGCATACACATTATTAAGAATTGTACACTTTCCATCACGAATACCCACAATCCTCTCTCTTTCTGTCACACAGTCTGTAGAAGACCAGCCACGATTGAGTTCCACAACACCGTGCATATATACATATAGTGTGATTTTAACATTAATCCAAAAAAATAATGAAACTAATGATAACATTATTTGTAACTAATGTGATGTCCAGTTTGGCAATCAATTCCTCTCTCACCTGTCATGGTGAAAATCCCTACCACCCATGGGATGCTACGGTTCCCCAGCAGAGCCATCTCCAGTTCTCCAGCTTTGCTTTTCTTCTGCTCCCTCCTGGATTTGAAGGAAGCCCAGATGCCAGTTGCAAGGATCAGCAGATAAAAAAGTAGCATCACTATCACTCCTGGGATGTTCACAGCCATGATGGTTTTCTTTCAGGTTTCCTGAGCTGATAAAGAGTCGAGGGACAGGAACAACTCAGCAACAAACTACTTATGCAGAACATTGTGGGGGTGGATATGTTGGTTCATATTTATACTCTTTTGAGGCTGGTAATGTAAAAGCCACTGTTAGTTATGTTATGTTAACTGGCTAAGGTTAACTATCTTTGAACGAAGCCTGGGACACAGTGCTCCATCACCTGTGTTGAGGAAAAGAAGTTGCAATGCAGAACATTTCAACAACACAAAATGAATAATTCGATCATACCGTAACTGCAGTAAGAGGAATTAACCTTTTGACCAGCAGGTGTCAGTAGTCCGTATTGGTTTTCCCTCTCAATCAATGTTAAACCCAGTCTGTGTCATAGACCGGTTTAATCATTTAAATGGGAGTATTCTCCTCTTCAAGCTAAGTCTGCTCAGCTTTTAAATAAACAAACTGAATCCATCCAGAGCCTCGTCCTTCAAAGTTAAAATACATATTTTTAACTTGTTTTTCCACATTGGTCACTGACTTTTCTTGTTTGTCAAGGTGCACAGAGGACAGAAAGTTATTTGTTAGCTGTTAGTTGTTGTCTATAGTGTGTGTTCAATTATTGAGAGAAGATACCAGAACACTGCCTCTCTAATTATGTTCGATTGGCTGTAGCTTAACTGCCAATAATAAAAACAACAAAACTTACCTCAGAGTAAAAATGGTGAAACACACGTCAGGGAAAACCTCAGAAGTTCTGCTCCTTCTCACAGATTCAACTAATCAAAAGAACACACACACACACACACACACACACAGGTCCTTCAGGTTATTTGCCAGGAATAAACAGGAGGTCATGACTTGTTTTGTTTGACAATATTCATCATCATATATTTAGATACATCAGACAGGGGCTCACAGACAGGGGCTCACAGACAGAGTTGTATATAGGGTATACATGAGGCAGATCCGCAGGTTGTGGCCTTGTGCAAAAGAGTTCACCCAGAATTCCACCAAAATACATTCCTGATGAAAACAGCGTGTGAATTAGTGTTTAGCTTAAATGGAAGAGCTGTTACTTTTATGCCTATTTTTGTCTTAGAATATTTAGACTGGGCAACAATCCTTCAGTCAAATGAACGAGAAGGTGGTCTGTTAGTACAGGAGAGTCCACACCAGGGATGCCAAATATGTAAATATATAGGGTCTACCAGTAGATCTCAAAGGGAGTGCTGTTAGATCCTGAGCAATTACATTTAAAGAAACAAATAGTTTTATTTCTATTTTAAGATGTTAATCATTAGGGCTAAAGGAAGGACCATAGAAGTATTGAGTCAGACGGCATTGTGCCATACAACTACAGCCATTTAATCTAAGTAGTAAATATATATTTCTAGTTTTCAACGTTGGTTGATCACTTTACCCCGGTCATTTGAAAAGTAGCTCCTGGACCGAAACAGTGCGGGCAGCCCTGGTCTACACTGACTTCATGCAAAAACACAGTAAAAGGCCACACAACCAAAAAAAAAAAAAAAAAAAGGTTAATACAGAGTTTATGTTTACCAGAGTTTACCAGAGTTTAACAGTTTATGATCAGGATGAACCGTGGGAGTAACAAGAACGCGCCGTCTGAGAACCCCGTGTTTGTCACGTGATTCTTGACCATGTTAGCATTTGAACAACCTTACAAGGAATCTTACCGTTTTTAGGTGATATGCCATGGTCGTAGAACTTTTCGTTCGACTTTTATCGAAAGTTATCTCTCTTTATAATGATGTAACACTGTCGATATCTTTGACAAGGTAGAGGAGGACTTATTGTGAACTGAAACGATCAAAATACAACTCAAACCACCCGACCTAGGCTTTCTTGAGTTCTTCAAGTTCTTCTGTCAGTCCGTTCGTTGGGCTAATTCAAAATAGTGAAAACAAGGGAGGTGTTCTGAAGAGAGCGTTGGGCTAATTCAAAATAGCGAAAACAAGGGAGGTGTTCTGAAGAGAGGTAGCTCTTTATGAAATATGATGCTCTGAATCACCCTCTTCAGCATTTGGCATTTTCTTTCTGATTAAATTAATACAAAAACATATTTTTTAAAAAGCAAGTTTTCACATTTTTTTCTCATGTCCTTCCCATTACCATAAAGTGAATATTTTGGTAGTTCTTCTGGATATCGCTGTTAAACTGCGCAACAAGTGTATCCGTAACTAAGTTACCAATTTGTCTTTTTAAATAAATTTAACACCGCGTTTGCACATTGTTTAATTACAGCTTGGGTATTTCTCATAATAATAACTATTCTGTGTTGTTATTGCAAATGGTCAAAATCTCACTTGTCATGGTGAAAAAACACCCACCTCTCAGGTGATGCTACGGTTTCCCGGCATGGTCATCTCAATGTCCACTGCCTTCCACGTGTCTTCTGCTCCCGTCTGTCACGGCTGACAGTTCCTGCGTGTATTACCTGCAGTAAAACAAACGGTCAGCAGAACACGGATGCTCTCTCTCTCACACACACACACACACACACACACACACACACACACACACACACACACACCTCCGTGGAGTTTGATGGCAATGCAACCTAACGCCTCCAAAAGGAAAAACAAATTGCATAATTTAACACCACAGCCTGGATTGAATAGGAAACCGTCGTAACCGTATAGGCGCCTATAGTGTGAACGGAACTGTCAGTGATCACAGTTGGCTTTCAATAAAACAATTACAGTTGGAGGTAAAATAAAAAAACCTTTGCCAGGAAAGAAGTAATCACCAAAACTGTAGCAAAAAGGCTCAAATAAAAGCACATCATTGAAAAAAATAATAATACCGCCATTCAAAACCATTCCGTCACATCCTTTAAAATACCGTACCACAATAGGCTACATTGTAACAAATATTTCATTTGTTGAAACTTTTTTTTTTTGCAGCATCGGAGGCTATCCAAGGGAATTTGCCTTCAAGCTTGTGTGATTGTGAAGGAGAGAGAGAGTGTGTGTGTGTGTGTGTAGGTTAAACCATAGTGTGTGCTCATTGCTTTCAGTTGATTTTATGTTTTTAGACGATGTCCAAATAGCAAACATCATAGTGTCATTCAAGCACGACGAGCCCCCGCCAGCGGAAACAGGGTTACAAGTAAAGAAGACTTTATCACAGTTAACACCTCAATCATGTTTTTTCATAGTTGGTGGATTGTAGTCATTGATGCACATCTTGACGGTTGTTTGTTAAACGTGTCAATAGTTAACTATCAAAACTTTACTTAAATTGTTGTCCCTCACAATCCATGTGTTAACTGTGTCAAGCAACAGGTCTATACTAGATTTATTTACTGCCTGAACATATCTACTACCTGGACTGTAGAACCCCAGAGTTCTCAAATAGATGATGAAAAAAGCTCTTCACTAGGATATATATATATATACATATATATATATATATAGGGAATCTGGAAACACGATCACACGGAGTTAACCACAGACTCTGAGGCTTCAGTCTCATGGTCATCTTTGGCACCCTCTACTGGACGATGGTGGTTGGACTTCTACCTTGAACACATCAAGGGGGGCAGCAGGGGATCAGCAACATCTGTATATCACCATTTAAAACTGCTGGCTTGTCAGGCCCCCATTGGATCAATGGACAGAAGAGGAAACGGTTAATAAATCTTAGGTTTCTGTATGTCATCTCAGAAGTTTTATTCTGTATCAATTCTTACGTGTCATAACACCTTATTGCTCCTATACTTGCCTGTTACGGCTCTTCTTAAGTTCTGCGCATGTCAGATACATAGGCAGTGTCGGGCTACACCAGATGGTTGCCAGGTACGTCACCGTGTTGGTGGCAACAACACGACAATACGGTATTGGAAAAGTCCTCAATATAAGGTGGAGAAATTCTTGCTTTACCCTGAAGGGGTCAGGAACACGCACTGAAACATTCATGCACTTAGTTAATAATTACTTTATTGTTTTGTTTTGTTTTTACAAATAAAATAAGTTAAAACCTTTGCTGCCTTTCAGTCAAGTCCCTGCCGCTGATCAATAAAACACAAAGTCAGACAGGAAACATCACAAAAACAGCAGCAATTACACAGAAACAAGAACGTCAGATTTTACAGATTTCTAGCAGCATCAAAGTTTTTTTTTAAGCCACCATCATGTCATCTAAAACGTGTTCTTAAATTAAAAAAAAAAAAGGCCTTCAATTGAAAATCGATTTTTATAAAAACTTTGCCTATCCACAACAGGATCATTGGCACAGATTTGGATGAACATCAGGTTAGAGCACTCTTAAAATGGATTTTCTGAACCACACAGAAAATAGCCGTACCAATTGCCATGTTCAGTAAAACGTCATCTTTTCAAATCATTCGGCCACAGATTCTCAGACATTCTTGATGAGAGTCTTTGTAAACAAATGTCCTGAATAATCAGGTACATAGACCAGAGGCACAGAGCCCAAGTGAACACTGTGAAAGTGGGTGATGGCCCACAGTGGGCAGAGACAGGAAGTGATACAGGAAGGAATAAGTGTGTACGTGACCTTCAAATAAGCTAAACAAATTAACCTCACCTCAGCCCTTTTTAGTGTCATATTCAGTAAATCTGCTACTCATAACGGCAAGCAATAGTTTAATTTTAAAAAAAAAATTAAAAAGTTGAACATAAAGACGGACAATGAAATCTTTTGCACTAGTGTACTCGATTAATTCAGAGAAATTATAGCACCCTCTGCTGGAGTTTCTGTAAACTGTAAAACGGATGGTTGGATAGTTTGTTACCCCCCAAACTGACCCAAGAACAGTTCCAGGGAAGATAAGTAAATAAAGTAACACGAAGAACATGTACTCTGTCAGAATATAAAACTTTTTCCAAAGCTTTAAGACTATTTCCTTCTCCACTTGTTGCATCCTATTCCATTTTCCTGGGCTTGGCCTCTTTGCCCGAGTCACAGTGGTTTCGTGGCCGTAGGTAGGTTTGGTAGAAGAAATTTGCAAAGAGCAGCAGGTAGCTGAGGTACATAAGCCCCGCCCACCTGATATTGTCCACATTGGAGGGGCAGTCACCCTGTGGCATCCAGTTGTGGACGAGCAAGCACACCGTCAGGCCCATGGCCATCTGAGCGATCTGAGTGCTGGTGATGAGCACAGCCAGCACATGAGGCACGTGCACACCAGCAGCACGTGCAGTGTAGTAGCTGTACATGAGCGCGTGCACTGCAAAGTTCATGGTCATGAACCAACCGCCTCCGGCCACCATGTCCTTATACGAGTACCAGGAATAGAGGAGCACAGTGATGTGGTGGAACCAGTGCAGGAACAGGAGTTTCTGCTTCCTCAGCACAATAAAAGCAGTGTCACCTAAAGAAGGGCACACCAAAAAAAAAAAAAAAGTATATATTCAGAGAGGCTCAAAATCAAAATGACTTATTTTCTGAAGGAACCAAAGACCGACCTAGTTCTGGAGCTTTGCTGAGGACAAAGGCGTAGGCCCAGAACCTGCTGACAGGGTCTTTGTAGAACCTCTGGTTACATACAGAATTTCTGAAACCAGTACTGCTGAGGATGTGGAACATGTATGAACCGGTACGAACCGCTCCCACAATGCTAAGAACAAGAAACATAAATAAATAAATAAATACATAAGTGGGAACAAAATGGCCGAAACAGCACAAATGCAGAGAAGTCAGTGAAGATGTAGATGAAGTTGCACAACACATTCAAGGCTGTTGTATGTAAAGTTGCCAATGATACAGTTGCCACAGCAATGCACTGTTTTGACAACAAAAGAAGGATGCTGTGTACCTGAACACGGCCAGCGTCAGGGACCAGAGCACCAACGGTCGCCGCAGGTTCAGTTTGGGCCTCTGCCTCATGTAGTGCTGCCCAGTGAACACCAGGGTGGCGTACAGGGCACTGAAGAGGAATGAGAAACTCCTGAGGAGGGAATGGGGAAAGAAAATACGTTTGAGAAGTGGAAACAAAGAGTTGTTGGTCAATCGCTGCCCCTTGTGGTCAGGAGGCAAATCTGGAGGATTACAAACACTTCCAAAGACGTACATTTTCTAGCTTGGGGTTTTCAATTTAGAGGTAATATGTGTTGCCGGTTGAAGCAGAACTTTTAAGAAGGTAGCAGATGTAGGTAAGACATGTGAACGAGGCTAGCATTTTCTCTAAATTAATGACATGGTCACCAATTTCGCCAAAAATATTTACCTATAGGTAAAACATATCTGTTACTTAAATTTATTATTGACGTTTTCTTTTTTTATCATTATTATCGTTTATGTCGGTCTTCCTCCCTCATTAATCATTTACACGTAGCTGTGAGTGGGAGTGTGGAAAATGTGATGACATAACACCTTAGCATTCCTGTGTTGCACCTGTTCTCAATAATCTGATCAAACCGGATTAGCCAAATTCCATTTAAATCCTACGGTGTTTTGCTAATCATCTTGTACCTAATACATTCACAAATTGAGTAAACAATGACTTGAGTTCACGCTTCCGTGTTATTTTAGACGCCACGAAGTTCCATAAACGAGCAAAGAAGAACAATGTATCACTAAAAAAAATAAAATAAAATAAAATAAGAAGAAAAGTGAGCTCGAATCCACGCCGATACCTGAACACATCGTCATAACTTTCGTCGGCTCTCATTACTCACTCTAGGTTTTGACGCTAAGGTAAACCGGTTTGGACCGAAACAACACCCGAGACACAAAAATACTGAAAACGCTAAAGGAATACTTAGAATATTTTTATTTTTTTAGCGATCTTTTGCTTTACTAAAACATATTTCTTTAAAAACGTATCTAATTTTCAGTGGAGAGACAGATCATGGTGGAGAGTAATTTACTTTAAGTTTCGGTGAAAAGTGAAAACGATATTAGAATAAAAATAAATGTTTGAATGTAACTATTTAAAAAAGACGTGTTACTCACCAGTTTTGCTGCATCCACTGAACCGCATCCATGTCATTGAATCGTTGCTCAAAGCTGAATTCTGTCAGCGGCAGCTCTGTCTCGTTGTCGTACTGCATCTCTCTGAGTGACCTGCTAAATCTGAGTTGCTGCTAACTCACCTGGGCGGCCATATTTAAATCCTAGCAGCAGGAGGCGGAGCCTAACAGTCACATGATCTCAATCACTGTTTTTACCCATGCGTCATTTTTTAGGTTTAATTCAATGACAGAAAATGGCCGCAAGAGGGCAGCGGTCGACCACCTACTTCGGTGTCCTTGTGCAGTGTTGCCAGTTTTTCATAGTCAACACGGAAACTCTGAGGTCAACGTAAAGCACGTGCGTGACACTATTTTGGCTTGAGAGCTACTCCATGTAACCTGGTCATATTTTGTATACACCTTATATGTTGTGATACTGATTAAATGTATGTATTAGTTGGTCACAACATGGTTTAATTCTTGTAGTATATAGTCACTGCTACAAACTACAGAAGTATATTTCTATTTTAATTCATTCGATTTATTTTAACTGCTTTTGACCCCCCTTCTTCCCTCATAACCCCAAACCACAAACACACACACACACACAGGAGGATCACCTCTAAAAAAGCGTACTAACCAGAGGTGGTTTACCACAAATCCCTGGTGTGACCCACAAGAATAAACAGGCCTACGCTGTTCGACCACAGCTCCACTCATTGACTCACACTCAAAGGACTCTTACATCAGAACTCCCCTGATAAGAATGCTAGACTGTGAATATACACAACCATACCACAAGAGGATGCTCAAGAGTTACTTTTTTAACCTAGGTTTTTAGTTGATCTCTTTGATTTATTATTTTTATTTCTTTAATCAGGCTTGTTATCATAATAAATCATTTATTATTGTTGTTGTTGTTGCTTTTATGTATTATTATTAGCATTATTATTGTTGTTATTATTATTATATGTCTGTTTGTTTGTTATTATTTATCATTAATATATTATATTATAATTACATGTTGTAGCTACATGCTTTGATGCTTTAAATATTTAGAGGTTTCTTTATCCATTTTATAACTATTTTATGGCATTTTATCTACTTTGCCTTTTACTGTTTTGGTCTCTTGGTTTTTTTTTGTCACGGGGCGGACCACACTATGAGCTGTGCTTGGTCCACCTACAGGGGGCTGTCCTGTAGGTGGACCTACTCTGGGTAACTAGAGGGCTCTGCACCTCGGGGTGGGGCCTTCTTTCTGGTCAGGATTGTCTCTGTGCCTCTTTGAGTCAACTTCCTCCAGGAGTTGTTCTGGTGGAGTTGGCAAGGAGCCCAGGACGTTTGCTGAGCCCAAGGTTAGATCACTAACCCTAAACTAATAGTTTACAGATCTTTGACTTTGACTGTGTGTGTGTCTAATCAGTTACAACAGTGGAAGGAGATGGCAAGCCTTTTTTAATCTTCATAAACAACAGAGACTAATGGAATGTAAATCTTCTTTGTATTCACTGCATCAAAGCAGAGCATCAGACGTCTCTTGTTTACTCACCAGTGTA